AAGATGAGTGGCATCTACCCCCTTTTCAGGTCATTTATTGAATGCTTGCTTGCATGTCACAGTTCATAGCTGATGACCAATTCATTCAATCCATGTGCAGTCAGTATGACATCTAACACCCATAGATATACAGTCACCTCGTGCACCAAGTGCTCTGAAGTAAGGCTTACATCGAGAGCTGCCATTAAGCTAATAACATCAAGCATGCTGCTGTCAGACTGCTCAGCTGTTCTGGTGGTTGCTACGGCAATAGTATGCGGTTGTTATGGTGTTCTGGGTGGTTACCCATTGGCCCAAATCAAAACAGTTCACCTTTAAATCTTTTAAGTATTCTGGTTCTGGTCTCTAGAAATAAAAAAAACCCTAAGTATAATAATAATAATAATAATAATAATAATAATACAGACAAATATGGGGAATTAAGTTTTTTTAATCAAATGATTTCAAGGAACTTTTATTTAGCTAGTGACTTCAACACTTTTAGCAAATTAATTGCAGACCCTTTTTGACAAGTGAAACAAACAAATAAATATATAAATAATTGAATTTATTAACATGTAAGCAAGTTCTATAACTTATAACAAATAAATAAACAAACAAACAAACAAATAAAAAAATAGCAATGATATGGTGAATGAAGTAAATTCAATTTTTTTTTTTATTAATTTTCAAACCTTTATTGAGAATGAATTCTAGAAAACTTTTGACAAGTGAAATAAATCAACAAACAAATAAAAAAAAAACTGATATGGTGAATTAAGTCAATTCTAATACTTTTTTAATTAAATGAATTTTTGCACCTTTATTAAGAGTGAATTCTATAACACAAATTTGACAACTAAAACAAACAAACAAACAAATGCATAAATATGGCGAATTAAGTCAATTCTTGAACTTCTTAATCAAATTAAATTAGCACCTATTTGAGAATGTATTCTAGAACCTTAGGGACAGGGACACATTTTAGGGACAAAAATCAGGGACAAACTTTTACGTACGTATGTATGTATTTATTTATTTAAAATGAATTCTACAACCTTTATTTAGTGAGTGAATTCTAGAACCATTTTGTCCATTGTGCTGCCTCCACTTGCTTGGCCATTCATTCAGCTGTTTAGTATTTCTGGATTTGTGATTTCTCTCTTGCTCTTCGTTGAGCACCTCATCTCTCTCTTCCTCCCTCTGTCTTTCAGCTCTGATTTTAATGCTCTTTCAATCAGTGTGTCCATTAAGCGCAGAGCTCATCAGTGCACGTTTACTCACGCATGCAGATGAGCTCCTATTGCAGTGTATTGCAAACGCCTCAGAGTCCGCCTTGGGTGTGTGTGTGTGTGTGTGTGATCTCCTCAGTGATGGGAGTTTCTAATGGCTCTCAGAGGAGGGGTAGATGTAATGAGAGTGAAGGAGGACGCTTCTGTGCTGCGCGAGTGTCTCCACTGGGGTCCAGACCTGCGTTTCAGTTCTTAATGAACATTCACAAGCCTTCCCACTCCCTCACTAAACGCATATACATTTTCAACTCTGACTCCTCTGCTATTGAGTTAATTTGACCTCCTTCCATCTATAATTGTTGGTGGGTTTGCTAAGTAGACAGTATAGCTCTATTGCTCCTACTAGGGTTACGGCTTTGAACATAGCCATACCCTTATGTATTAAACTTCGACATGTCACTTGTTAGCTTGTTATGGAAAACTGCAAAACTGATTTACGATTTTCTCTTAGTGATTGATTTAAAAAAAAAAAAAAAAAAGAGTGCATTGACAGAGAGACCTGGGCCATATCTAGACACTAGAATAAGGACAAAATTGACCACAATTGTGAAATATGACAGAACAGATTGTGTGGACGATGTAAATACAGCTGTTTTCAAAGCAAATGTTTAATTCTTACATTAGTCTACAGCTTTTTTTTTACTTATAACTTCCCCTAGAATCAGAAATTGATGAAATTTGGCATGTCTCCTCACATGGCCTTGGCATCTATGTGTAACAAGTTTTGTGGTCTTTGGATTTTGCGTTAACAGGATACAGGCCAATGTATTCATTATGTGCAACACCTGAAAATTTTATTGGCTTAAATCTGTGATTTAACAAATCAAAATTCTTTTGACAACTTTTTGTCAAGGTTGTCGCTAGATGATACACGCCAGTTTCATGCAAGTTGGATGAACAGCTGGGAAAGACTTCAACAATTGAGCCCATATGGTTCTTGAGAAAAACATAAATATATAACTTTTCACAGAGCTGCCCTGTTGGCAACACCCAAAAATGGTACACAACCTCTTCTGGACACTTTTAGGATACAAAAGAATAATAAAAACAAAAAGAATAATAATAATAAGAAGAAAACCAGCGAAATCGTTCCATGAGCCAAGAGCAGGGGTTGTGAAAGCTGCCAGCAGTGTGTGATAACAAACACCTGAAGCTCATTCTGCCTCATCACTAAAGCTGTAAATTCAAAACAGCTCCTCTCCATGGGGAGGCCAGCATGCACTAAGCATGGACCAGGTGTTCTCAAGGTCTCCGTACGACACGAGTCTGAACAGCCTGAGCAAGATGAGCACATCACAACCTTGGGTGAGCTCCAGCAATGTCCAGCATTATAGCATGTATACCATGTGCTTCAGCTCTAAAGCGATGAATAGAGGACGTGGTTGGGGAAGTTACGGTTGAATCAACATCTAGCACTGACTGGTTGGGAACATTACCTTCAAAAGTCCTGCGGTGTTCTGTATTTTTAGAAATTTGTCTACAAATATTTTATCACTACAAATAGGGCTGCACGATTAATCGAATGCGATTGTCATGCGCATTTTGATAGTAATGCCAGTTCTGTAATCAGCAGAAAATTATCATCACGGGCTTTCAGATTGTCGAATCGTGATCTCGATTCCATTTCGATTGATCGTGCAGCCCTAACTACATATAACATCTACAACAGTACTGCACACTTTTTAAAACTACAATACCCATCATACTCAGACATACAACTCCTATACAGGTGCGGTCACATTAGCGGAATTTCAGCAACATTTCGTGGGGAAAAAAGTTCATTGTCAATAGCATTGAGATGCATGACCAACTTGAACACAAACAAAATCTGTGTGGTGAAATCTTTCGCTCCCACACAAAACTCCCAATTGTAGGAATTCGTATTCGTATTTCGTCCACAAAATTTTGCTGAGCAACAGTAAATGTGACCATAGTTGTGCAATGTTTTTTTTTTCTTCCAAAATGCACATGGGAGATGGGATTTGTGTTTTTCAGTAAATAAATTAAATAGAAAAGTAATGCAAATACATGTTGCAGTTTATTGTGAATGATTCATCCATGTATGGTCTGGTGATGTATGCCAGACTTCTCCAATCATTTAGTCCACTCAAACTGTGCACCTCTACAATCGTCCACAAGCTCACATTCATTTTTGAGTGAAATGCCATTGTTGATGGCAGCATTGAATCTTCGCCACTCAATCCGTCAGCTAAAATGAAACTGATACTAAAACCACCAGCAGGTGGTTGCAAATCATTGAATCAATTAGACAAACGATTCATTCAAAGCGGCTGATTCATTTAGGTACAAAGCAAGTGGCTGAGTGAGTCGTCAAGTCAATCCATAGACCGATTCGTTCCAAAACTTGGATTCATTTAGTAACGAAACTGGAAATGTTGTTCAGAGTGTGCAGTGGCTCTACTGTTTTGAACTGTTTTGTTGGCAAACTTTTGCGCTCTTGCTCGTGTGGTATTGCTTATTAATATTTATAAGCATATTTCGCATTTTTTCATTCATTTTGATGGCATTTTTGCCTCGATGGATGTAACTAATTTCCCACCCTACATACTTCTCTCTTTCTCTATTCACTCAAAATATTCGTCACAATACTGGAAGAAAAACAAATACAGTACTTCCATTAAATTTAATCTCTGACAATTTAACAAGTAATGAAAGTATGCACATAACACGTGTTAATCGTAATGCTACGCCAACAATTGTGCCAATCCCCACTACTAAACGCTGATTAAAATTAATGCAGAAGTCCTCACGCTCCTATTCCTAATTAATTAATCAAATTCAGCTCAAAACACAGGCCACAACCTAACATGTCATTAGGCCTAGTAATTGTCCATCACACTCATTCTACAGGACAAAAGAGTGCTGGAGTATGAATCCAGGGGCACTAAAACTAACCCTTAAGTGCTCCTGAAACATGACCTGGAAACAACTAATCCCATTACGCTAATCCGCCTCAAAACAACTTATTGTGAAGATAAGAGTGTGGATAATTTATGCGGGATTCAAATGAGCACCAAATCAGAATAATTAATGGAGGCCGCGGCTTAATTAGCCTGGCATTGGGAAACGCTTACTGCGTCCTCAACCAAACAGATGCACGACCCGCTATTTCAAAGAGCCCAGAGGGGCAGGAGACCAGGAAAACACCTTTTCATGATAGCAGCTCCCAAAAGTGTGTTATCTGTACATGTCTCGTCCCTCTGGAGGAGCCGAGTAAATGTTAATCCTCCGTATGGATTTATTTTAGAAATTAACCGATTCCGCATTTGCTTCAACCTCTTTGTAGGGTGAAGTTGGTTGGTGAAATTTTGCAAATCAGTCACAGTTGGGGTGACATTTAACTAGGCAACAAAGCTGTTTACAGGAACATAAAAGCTACACGTTTGCTGCCTTACACATTAATGTATTTATTTCAGAAATGTTACAATCCAGCAATTACCAATGATGAATATAAGCAGGAAACCTATGCATTGATGAATAAAACATTCCCTTATTAAAAATAACCTCCATCAAAACTGCATCTGGCATCAACAAACCATAGCAAGAGTGTGTGTCAAGGTAAAAAAAAATAAAATAAATAAATAAAATAAAATATATCAAGGCAAGGTCTTCCTATTAGTAGCCTACCAGGGACTCCCAAATACTCAATACATTATGTTAACTCTAGCTGAATAAAGTGATTTGAGCACATAAGGCCGTTCACCCTACCTGAACATGTCACCCAGGCCCTTCAGCACGCCTTTCTTGGCTTTGCGCTTGTCTTTCTTGTCCTTCCCTCCTCGCTCCTTCTTCTTGTCATCTTTGGTGCGTCCTCCATTCAGCTGTTTCTCTGTGTTGGAGGGTGGGAGGGAGAGATCTGTGGCTCTGGAAATGGAGTCGCGGCCTGATCGGGAACTCTCCTCTGTATCTTCTTCCACTGAGATGGAGGAGAAAACAGGAGAGATAGATAAACATGAACGCTGAAGTCAGACTATGTGTAAGTCACAGCAAGCTCTTAAGAAAGAGCAACACTTAGTCACACAGGGTTAGGTTTGCCAAATAAAACCTTTCCACCAAAACCAAAACACTAGCATCCACTAAAAACACACTATCAACCACCCGTAACCACATAGCAATGCCCTGGCTATTTGCTGGTTAAATAAAATAATAATAATGACGATAATGATGATGATAATAATAATAATAATAATAATAATTATTATTATTATTAAGGTGGTTGTTTTGTCAGGCAAATATCACTAACATTTACACTAACATTTTCAATCAAATAATATAATAAAATAAAATATCTAGTGATTTATTTAACAGTAATTCAACTGAAACCACAGTTTCAGTCAATTTCATATTTTAATAATAATAATAATAATATTAATAATAATAATAATAATAATAATAATAATAATGGTAATAATAATAGTAATAATGAGGTTGAGAAGTTTCTTTGAGAAGGAATTCAGGCTAATGTAGTGTCTAAAAGCAGAAACCCTCACAGTTCTGACTTCTATAAACATTGTCTTAATGAAACTTCTTAATGAGACCTTGTCTTCAAGTCCAACCATATCTAACAGAGGCTTGTGAGCTCCTCATCTTGCCTCAATCTCTTTTAATTTTTCCTTGGCGAGTTTTTCCTCAGAGGTTACTAAATCTGAAGGAACCCCATTATCTTTTTGCTTCTAGAGGTTCACATCTTCCCACCACAGTTCGGCTGTCTCAAAATCGGTTACCCAGGAGCAGTGCAGGAAGCCTATTAGCGTTATTCCTCACTGACCCAATAAAACTAACAGAGAAAGTGAACTTCAAAGTTCAAAAGGCTAAAGTGCACCAGAAGAGGCCTGTCTTCTGTTCACCTCACCACTCTGAATGAAGTATCTGCAGTACCACAGCATTTATTTGTTTTGACCAACGATTACTGTATAAGCATTTCTCCTGCTGAAGCGAGGTCTAGACATCATGCAGTCAGAATATAGAAACTCTGGAGTTCGACTGTATCCTTTGGTTGTGTGGAAAAGAGTAGCCTGAATGTGAAGTGTTGCAGGTGATGCATTACAAGTAACGTACGTAAGTTACGTAATCAGATTACTTTTTTCAAGTAACTAGTAACACATTACTTTTTAATTTACAAGAAAATATCTGTTACTTTTTCAAATAAGTAACGCCAGTTACTTTGTTTTCCCATTTATTGACTGCTGCTCTCCTGTCCGCATATTGAGAGAAATCAGGAGTGAGTGCAGAGGCGTTGTGTGCGCTGTGTGAACACGATGCTTAGTGTAGATCTAGACTAAATGAGCATGCGTTTGCTCATCTCACAAAAACAGACTCAGTATTCCTCAAAGTGAATAAAGACAGTGAAATGCAAACTCAGAATATGACGCAAACCTGCAATAATTAAATATGTTAAATAACACACATATACTTTGTGTTTAATCCCAGTTTATTAACCAATATCTTTGCCGCTGACCTTTGATGATTCAATTCAGCCATAATAATAAGCAAAAATTACCTTAAATAACCATAACATTTGCATTTCATTTGTTTTGTTTTTTTATTGCTGAAGAGTGCTGAACTTTCTTCTCCTGCGTCCTGTTCTTCATGTAATCCAGAATAGCAGCACAGCTGAAAGGTTTGTTTGAGCTGCGCCCTCTACTGTACAGATCTGAATTTACATTTCCTTCAGCCTGAGGTGCATTCATTTCACTTTTGGTGTGAAAGGGCTCTTGCATTTGCCAAAAATATAACTTTTTTATATTAAGAACAAACAAGCAAGCCCAGGCCAGATGAGAAAAAGTAACGCAAAAGTAATGTAACACATTACTTTCCATAAAAAGTAACTTCGTAACACAATTAGTTGCTTTTTTAGGGAGTAACGCAATATTGCAAATCATTACTTTTAAAAGTTACTTTCCCCAACACTGCTGAATGTGTACCACATTTTGTGTTTGCGATCATTCCAGAAAGAATTGCTTTGCTAACAGGGTTTTTTTTATCACGTCACCACACTATTAAAATATTTACTTTTCATCTCTTTCGAGAGCACTCTTAACATCTGATAGCCTATGAATTTTGTAACGCTGATTTTATGGATTCCAGTCAATGGGATGATGTATTTCATTAATGATATATTAATGCAAGTACTTTGATGCAGTTTTGGAAAAGCGAGCGACTGTTAGTGGGAACATTTTATTTTCAAGTATCGTTAGCAATGCTAATTCATCCTCCACCACCTATCTTCGTGATATGTGATATTCGTGATATATCAGTATAATCATAAGGGACCGCAGCTGGCTGATATTGCTCATTTGCATTTCAGCAAGCGTCTGATTACAGCTACTGTCTCCATTCCTGATGGTCTGGATGTGATTAATTCGTCACTAATTGTAAGTTTAAAAACGCTCAGAAAGGAGAAAAAAATTAGAAGGCACTAAAAGCAAAGTGCTTTTGAATAGAGCCACGTAATGGCAGAGATGTGGCGCTGGAGACAGATGCCTGTGTGATTACAGCTTATTAATAACCAACAAATCTCTGACGTGAGTGAGAACTCTGATGGCTGGAGGAAAGGCCTCATGAAAGCGAGAGAGCATCACGGATATTTCGCCATGCTCAGACGAGTGGTTTAATGCTAGTGAGGGGAAGAGGGTGGGTACTCGTTTCTATTGTTTTATTCACTAGTGCAATTCGCTATCAGTGTTTTCTGTCATTCTGCCATCTACTGAAACAATATCCAAATGGATCAGCATAAGACAAGGAGAGTGTGTGAAATCAGTGCATTAAACAATTATGTGTCACACCCCTGTGGACTGTCGCTTGTGGTTTCTCCCTCTGTGTCCTTATTTGGTTGTTCCTGTCCTCATTATCAGTTAATCACCTTATTGTGCTCACCTGTCTGCCCCTCGTTATCCACCCTATATTAGTTCCTGCCTCTTGTAGTCTAGTTGGTCGGTTATTGCCAATGTCAATGTTCCTGTCAATGTGAATGTTACCCTTTGCGTGTGCTCCTACTCTGTTTTGGATGTTACCCTGTTGTGGATTAATTAAAGTGTTGTTGTATCCTTCATCTTCGTCGTCCTGCCTGTTCTCTAGCACAGCATAACCGTGACATTATGGAATTCTTTTCTTGCCTTTTTTTTTAATAAATCCAAACCTTTCTGAGCTCAGGAGATGATAATAACGCTAATGAGGTTTAGTTGGATATCATTTATCTCTCTTTTTTTTTTTTCTCACCGGGTGCTTATCGGATGGCTGAGAGCAAAGGCGTCCAAGCTCATTTCTACACCTTCTAATGCTGTCTCAGAGAGCGCGTCTGATGGAAATGATTTTGGACAGTCTGAGCATCAACAAAAGTTCAAAAATTTCAATCTGGCCTTGAGAAAGATGGGATCTCAGGAGATGAAATGGAAAATAATAATCATTGTTGGGGAAAATGTAATCAGATTACTTTTTCAAGTAACTAGTAAAGTAATACGTTACTTTTAAATTTACAAGAAAATATCTGAGTTACTTTTTCAAGTAAGTAACACCAGTTATTGTTATTAGTAAGCAATGCAATTAGTTATTTTATAGATAAACAATGTTTATAGTACATTTTAGACATTCTACTAGCTTTAAAAACTTTAGGTTCTTTAAGTCATGTCAGAAAGATTGAATTTACGAGTTAAAAGCACATGATGGCCACCACAAAGTCATAATTACAAGTGGACATTTCTTTGAACTTTCATTAACCCACAACTTTCTGAGATGTCAATGTTAATAAAACATTACTAACTATTAATAAGCAGCAACTTAGGAGTTTATTGAGGCAAAACTCATAGTCATAGTTAGTTAATAGTGAGAATTGGACCTTAAAATAAAGTGTGACCAACTAATCGATTTACAGAACCTTCATAAACTGCATAAAAACAAAAAAGCAAAAACACACTGATGTAGAAAGTTAAAGAGAGGTAGTTGACATGCAATTGCAAAGTTACTTATAGTTAGTAAAATGTCTAAAGTGGACTATCGAGATAAAGTGTATCCAATAACACAGGGAAGAATGCATTGGACAGGGCTCTTCTCATTTATAAACATCCCAATTAACTTGAAAAAGAAGATTCATGCCTATAGAGTCGCAGTCAATACAGCAGCGACTTCACAGATCAATGGTGTTTTCATTAAAACGGTTATCACAGTAAGTTACGGTTCTGCTAATTGTTGACTGAAATGTAAAAAGAAATGAATTGCGGTAATTAACGGCAAATTTCAGCTACACAGGACTGAGTGGTAAATGTTTTGACACCGCAATCAAAAGGCATCATTAGTCGTCTCCTTTTGACGTGCCACGGTATTCATTTCTTCTTTAGAACGCTGATCACTTCTAATGGAGTCTTGAAATTGCCACTCTGGATTTTTCCCGGTGGGAAAAAGAGCCGAGCGCATTTAAGTCTGATATTTAAAAAAAAACATAAAACACAATGAAACACAGCCCAACTCATTTTCCCTGCTGGATATCTCCCAGTGACACATTTTTCCTCGGGTGATGCCAAATTCACATGCTATGTAAATAAAAGTGTGTGGAAAGAAAAAGCCTGCCCTTATCTGTCAACTTTTGACCATTAACCTCGGTGACAGGCTCAGGCAGGTTCCTCTTATCTAAATTGAAAAACAGAGTTATTTGAATATTGGATGGCGAGAAATGCAATATGTTTCTACGGCGGGATCTCACGCATTTGCCCTCTATTCCTCTGCCGAAGTGATAAGACAGTATTCAGCTCAATGTGGACACAGCTTACAAGAACAAAGTGATTGAGGCAAATAATTTGACTCTTTTGAAAAAAATAAATTCTGCTTGGTTTTAATGGAATCTTTTAATGGAGAACAAAGGGATGGAGTGAATTTTCCCCCTGGCAAGTGTTATTAGCTAGACAGGTCTGTCGGACAGACTTCATAAACTCATTCTAACACGACTCTGGGTTCGAACTGTTTTCTATGTGAATATCTGTTAAAATGTAATTTATTTCTGTGATCAAAGCTGAATTTTCAGCATCATTACTCCAGTCTTCAGTGTCACATGATCCTTCAGAAATCATTCTAATAATGCTGTTATGCAGTCTAATATTAATGTTAAAACATTTTTAAAAACGTTCTTATTTTTCAGTATTCTTTGATGAATAGAAAGGTTCAGAAGAACAGCATTTATTTGAAAATCTTTTGTAATGTTATAAATGTTTTACTGTCAACTTCTGATCAATTTAATTAATATTTTCTGAATAAAACCATTAATTTCCATTTAACACACACACACGCACTTGAATGGTAGTTTCTGCATAAAAATGAAGTAGCATAAGTATTTTCAACATTGATAATAATCAGAAATGTTTCTTGAGCAGCAAATCAGCATATTAGAATGATTTCTGAAGATCATGTGACACTGAAGACTGGAGTAATGATACTGAAAATTCAGCTTTGATCACAGAAATAAATTACAGTTTAACAGAGATTCACATAGAAAACAGTTATTTTAAATTGCAATAATATTTAAAAAATATTACTGTTTTTACTGTATTTTAGAGCACATAAATTCAGCCTTGATGAGCAGACGAGGCTTCAATAAAAAACATTTAAAAATCATAATGTTTACAACCTTTGACAAGTACTGTATATATATATATATATTATTAATCTGATTCCTTACTTATTATGCCACAAAAAAAACACCTTCAGTGCAGGAAACTGTGGCACTGAAACATTTTAAAATGGGTCAATAAATTAAACAATCTAAAATATGAAAAGAATACAAATTGCAGCTGCAAGCAATCAATGAACCGTAAAAATGAACCCAAACGCATTTAGTAAATCACTGAGTCTGCAAGCATTGAGAAATATCCCTTTAAAACCCAGGTCCCATTAGAGAAAAATGCCCAGCGAGGATGTCTGGAAATGCATTTGGTCATGGACGAAATGAATAGTGAAAGTTATACACATGCTCATTGGCTGTTTATTTCCTTTCTGGGCTTTGAGGGAAGGCCTGACCTACTTACAGCAGGAGGATCTCTTCTGCTAGTCTAATCTTCAGAACAGCACAAGACGTCCTCGTGAGACCCGCTGCCTTGTTTCTCTACTGAGAGCCGTCTATAAAGTGAACCTCATTTGGCGGGCGACTCATAATATTCTGGGCCAGTCATTGTGTGAGACAACTGATGAAATTGGCATTGATATTGTGTCAGATCGCCTTTACTGTGCCTGTGCAATTATGGTAATAGCTGTGATTACATTACATTGCAATTTTCAATATAAAGAGAAAACAGGAGGTTAAGAAAGTAGATGATGATGCACTGGCTGGACTAAATAATGATCAAACTAGACTGCTAATGTTTACAAACATGATGTGCCATTTATGTGCTGTTTTCTGGACTAAGAGTAACACAATGCTTTTAGTCGTAATCTGTGTGTGTGTTTAATGCATACGTTAACCTCCCTTTACGTCAAAAGTAGGCTAGGTAGTAACTCAAGCACACTGGTACAACCGGCCCCTAGCTCATTTTGAGATATATATAAAAAAAAAGACTCACAGGTCAGTGAATGATTCTCATTCAAACTGGTAATGCAAAAGTGAATTTGAAGATCATCAATTATTTTGACTGACTCATTAAAAGAAAGAAAAAAGATTAATAATTTGACAAATCAGCTCTCGCCATGTTTATCGTTGCACACAGGAATCACTGGCGCACACTCTAATGAGACCGAGATTATGTTGCCATGCAGCTTCTAGTGGTTGCTAGGGTGTTACCAGAGTATTGTCAGTGGTTGCTAGAGTAATCTGAGCGGTTTCTTACTGGGCCAAGTACAGACCATTGCTGCATCCCAGTTCGCCTACTTATACAATATTCTAAAAGTATTTACTCTTTTTGTGAAGAAAAAGTACAGACTTTTGAGTGTGTAGCAGAATAGTGGGCAGCCTGACAATCTTCTTGTCACAATTAAAATCCTCCACATTTTAGTTAATTTAATTTCATACCATATAGGAGAGAAATGAAGAGGCACGTTGATCTGCCAGTCACGTGTCTTTCATGCTGAGAACTCTCTTCATGTGTTTGCAAAATGATGCATTTAAAAGTGAATGACCAAATGTATCTTTATGAAAGTTTGCAATGCTGCTGCAGATGAAATATAATGTGGGTAACATTATTATTATTATTTTTTCATCAGATTAGATATTGTTGCAAACACTTTATCTTAAGGGTATGTTTACACGACAATGACGTACTAAAAACGGAAACGTTTTTGAAAAGTTTTGCATACAGACGACAACGTTGATCTGCGAAAACGACAAAAAAAAAACTGTATTATGCGTGCCAGGCCAGTAGATGTCGATGGCACTTTGTAAAGATAATCTACGTGTCTGTGCACATTCCTACCGACTAAACACGTAATGCGCATCAAGTCACCACTTTCACAAATTCACATTTTTGTAGTTTACACAGAAACGAAAATGGCATCGTTTTCAAAAACGTGCACTATGAAACCCGTTTTCAAAAGTTTGCGTTTTCAGGCCCCCAAAAACGCATTGTTGTGCAAATGAACGACCAAAATGCATAAAACGTTTTACATTTTTAGGTGAAAATAGTGTCGTTTAACGGACCCTAAACCTCTGTACTTATCCGCTGGTCTCGCATGTCTGCCATGTTTGTAGTTTTTTAACACTTTTTATCAGTGTTCGTAGTTTTAATCAAATCCGCTTCCATTGCGCAATGGGTTGTGGACAATATTACTTCGAGCTTTCAATAGTAAACCATCCGGGATATTCATTTCAACATACTACAGTCTGGGACACACTAATGTCGAATACTATTTAGGATGGATAGAATGTGAATTGGGACACAACTCATGATATCCTAGTCCCTAGATACGATTCAAATCTCTCACATGATTTTTCTCCCCAATACTTACGTGTATCCATGCCCTCGTCATCTTCATCGGGGTTGACCACGGTCACACCAGGCTTGTCGTAAGACTTGTCGATGGCCGCCCTGAAGCTCTCATTGCAGCCCCGCCCCCTGATGATTCTGGGGCGTGGCCTGTGGAACGAGACGTCTCCGTTGTGCGTCGCCTCGGCAACAGCCATCTGGAGGCTCTCCAAGGAACTCGACTTCTTCAAACCCAACGACGGTCCCACATCTCGTGTGGAGTTGCCTTGTGGTGGAGAAAGAGAGAGAGTAAAAAAAACATGCCAGAAAGAGAAGAAAAAAGATGCTGTCTATCGTTTTTCCTCAATAAATCCTTCTCTCCTAATTCACTTCTAGAATTCACATCCCTCACTGAAGACAAATGTGCAACCCCGATGGTTGTGTTTATCTGCAGATGGAAGGAGAAAACAGTGTGCTAAAATAATATGGAATATAAATGGCTCCACTGGATGCAAAGTGAGGTGTCAGATAGATTATCCGTCTTGCATCCGTCACATTTTTAACTCTTGAGGTCATTGTTGCCTCTTTTTCCCCAATGTGTATGTGTAAGTGTGCGAGGGAAAGAGCGCATAACTTCTTTCTGTAGTTTAAGGCATTGATGGATGGCCCATATATGAGGCCCATTATCTTCCCTGTGTGGTCGTGGGAGGAGGTGGAGGAGAGAATGTGGAGAACAAGAGGGAGGAAGAGCAAAAGCTTGTAGACTGAACACGCTTTGAGACTCGGCCCGTTCACATCAAGCAGCGAGTCCTAGCAGAAACTCCCTCAACTCGTCTGCTTAATGACCTTTTTGTGCATTTAATCCACTTGTTTCTCATTAAGGGTTCCTTACAAAGACACAGTAGGCCCACACTTCAAACACGCGCCAGCACGGAGACAACATTAATCCTGCTTATGAAATCCTGTAGAAAAGACCTCAATGGAAGCCGATGGGCTTGGCTGCGCGGGTTAGGGATTTGCATTTGTCTGTGCAGAGTACAAAATGAATGCTAAATGAGAGTAAAAAGTGGAGAGTAAAACAATAGTCTCTTTTCCTTTGAACTGGAATATAACGTGGTTTAAATTGAACTGTATGTATGTATGTACAGTATGTATGTGTGTATATATATATATATATATATATATAATCAGTGGGATGCGATTAATCGCGATTAATCGTTTTACAGCACTAATATATATATACATACATACATATTCTTTCTGTGTATTTATTTTAAAATTTATTTAGTTTCCTTTTTTCTTCCTTTCTTTTATTTTAAAAGGACAATTTGGTCTAAAAATAACTAAAATTTATCATTTGTTTTTGAAAGAAGTCTCACCAAGGCTGCATTTATTTGATCAAAAATACAGTAAATTCACCAATATTGTGATATATTATTAAAAATATTGAAAAATTGTTTTCTGTGTATATAGTCTTCAGTGTCACATGATCCTTCAGAAATCATTCTAATATGCTGATTTGCTGCTAAAGAAACATTTCTG